GGGGGGGGGGGGGGCATGTGATTCGCGCTTGACACCATCAGAGTTCTCTGCGCACGCAGCACGCGACGCAACGCGCAGCAGATTACGTACGTGTTTCGATGCGGTCGCTTCAGTACCCTTCACTTTAAATAGACCTAATGAGATGTGCACTAGTAGTTGACTTCACCATGAAGTAGTGCAAATCTCTTTACCAAGCATTGACGCTCTTTCAAGATTAAGAATTTACTTCATGGATCAACAATTAACTTGTAAAACTTTCAGAAGAAGAGTGACTTTGAAATGTCTCGACCGTAATAAACTCAACCCTTCTGTGAACCTGCACAGTTGGTCACTTTTTCACTTATCTTTTACGAGCTCCTATTTCTCTCATACAGCGTGACTCGTCCACGGCAAAGCGCCGCCGTATGTCCCGCCCTTCACATAAGATGACCTCACTGTATGGACACGTTGATCGCACCGCAACCCTCACGCCATTCCACCTCGGTGTATCAGCTCCAGATTCTTTAAAGGGGAACGTGCCCTTGCTACCTGTACAGCTCTCAATTAGAGGCAACGGCTAACCCCATCAAACTCTGGAGAGAGGATGAAGTGCGTAGAGCAATAGGAAAGATTAAGGTTTGGGAACACATCTAGGCTGGAAGGAGTACCGATCGAGGCATGGAAGGTGAACACGAGATAAAGCAGCTCACCCGATTCTTGAACACTGTGACCGCCACAGGAAGAATCCCAGACGCGTAGAGGAGCAGTACTATCGTTCCCATCTTCAAGCAGAAGGTGGACGCGATGGAGTGTCCCAACTGGGGGGTCAGGCTGACTGCTCACACGATGAAACTGTGCGAGCGGCTGGTTTACTCAAGTTTGAGAGAATTGGTCCCAATCTCACATCATCAGTTCGGCTTTATGCCTGAAAAGTCTACAACGGATACCATCTTCATAGTGAGACAAGTTATGGAGTAGTATCGAAGGAAGTGTAGACCCTGCTACCGAGCCTCCCTTGATCTAGAGAAGGCATTCGACCGTCCCCTTGGAGAGCGCTCCGAAAACAACGATTCCAGATCACACGATACCATTGGTCAAGGACATGTACGATGTGACAACAATACGCACTGCACACGGCCAAACCGGAGCAATAGATGTCACTGTTGGGGTACACCAGGGATGAGCTCTTAGCCCGTTCCTCTTCCTGCTCACGATGGATGTCATCCCAGGAGAACTCATGGATGGACCACTGAGAACCACCCTCATCGCTCTGATGGCGGAAAGCAAGGAAGAACTCCGGAACAAGCTCCAGGAATGGCACAAAGTGCTGCCGGAAAGTGGGCCCTGGCTAAACGCGACGAAGGCTGAGCTTCAACGAGAACACGAAGTCAATCATCGACGGTCACGGGGAGCACGGGGAAGTCATCGAAAAGGTCCAGCTTCCGATACCTGGGAACTGACCAGGCCCTAAAACCCCGAACAAATGCGGCATCGATGAAGTGGAGGGAGTCCACTGGTATCCTCTGCGACCATCGGTGCTCCAGGATTCTCAAAGGAAGGGGGTGTCGGACAGTGGAAAGACCCACGATACTCTACAGCAGCGAGTGTTGGCCCGTCAGTAGATTCCATAAAAAATAGCTCCCTTGCGCTGAAATGAGAATGCTCAGATGGACCGACGGCTAGACGCGGCAGGATCGGATCAGAGATGGAGACTTCAGAACGGCTATGCAAACAGCCCCAGTTCAACTGAAGTTGAGAGAGTAGCAACTACGATGGTTCGGGCATGTACTAAGAAGACCACAGAACCATCCGATAAGGGAAGGAATGGAGTTCGAAGCTCAAGGTAAGCGACCACGAGGAGCCCCAAAAGGGAGGTGGCGGGACGTGATCAAGAAGGGTCTCGCTAAAGCTAAGGTGACGGCAGAAGATGCCGTAGATAGAATAAAACGGAGACGGCTGACGGGACACTGCGGCGGTGCGAGATTAACGCTAGGGAGAAGAAGAAGACGAAGAAAAAGAAGAAGAAATCGTAGGTCAGCATGATCAACTTGAACAGTCTTCGACTCTGCTCATTCCATTCCCTTCCCATGGCTAGCTCTTCTTTTGGAGAAAACTTAAGCGTCGAAAGAAGGAGCGATGACCTTGAAAATTATGTGGTCCTCTCTGAAAAGCCTTTTCAGGTCTATATAAGACGATTCCGATTTCCCTCCTCCGTGATTTAATGACGGTGCGAAGGCAAAGAAGATTGTAAGACCTGAGGTTGTGTCACATCTTCTCAGTCGCAAACGTCCTATTCGTGTTGGCGAGGCGTGCAACTGGCGATGCCTTCGTCACGTCGTAATTGATTTCTTGGTTTGCATCATCAGACCTTCATTACACGCTTCTGATGCAAGCATTTGTGCGTTGAAATTACAGATCGCCACCTTTGTCCTTCTCTTTTTGAGCAGTCTGCTTTGGCCTTTGAATTTCAGCAGTCCATCCTGAGCGACCCTACCCAACGCTGCCGTGTTAAGGGCTCCCTCAGATCCAGGGGGAAGATTCCCATTCATACGGTAACTTTCTAGACTATAACGTGGGGGCTAGGTTGTTTCTGGGTAGCTGGCCAGGCTATTCCAGAGCGGACAAAAGACCTTGATTTCTGAAGCGACCCCAAATCGGCACCCGGATAGTTCCCAGTCACTCGAATGCAAAGCTATTGATGATACAAACTGCAGGGTAATAACCACCTATCTCCTGAATCCACATGCGTCTTCGGGAAAAAAAACGGCGACGTTTGGCCTGCATACCCCTCCCCTACACACCAGCAGAAGACCCCCTGAGTAGCCACGTCGCTGACTGGCTAGGATATTCCAATGAAACAGAACCATCAGTGAAGGAGATCCGTAATGTTTTATGATTAGCTCACGAAATACCACTGCTCTGAAGGACGATTGGGCCAGAAAGATTCAACATCGCACCTGCAGTGCCCTGATTTCCACATCGACACCGCTTTTCAAATGACCCACTTCCTTTGACAAACAGAAAGGCTAGGAAAAGAGGATAACTCTAAAATAAAGGAGGATAACAGTGTTTCCGAACAAAAAAACAAAAGTTCGAAATCAAGATAAACCATGTCAAAATAAACCACCCATGTCTTCCCCGCAACACCGGGGAGGAGTAGCTACATGTTTTAGGCAACAAGTGGGCAAATCTCGAGAGGTGGGTTGCATACTAAACTGCTCATCTGCAGCGCTACAAACTCCATCTTCCACAAGTGGTGCATATATAAGTCGTGCTCATTATCTCTGCTTCTCGAGGTTTACCCACTTGTTTTGGCGAGAACGCTTTGCAAATGGTAGATTGTTGGCGATGAAAAAAAAACATGAAGGCACTTATCATCTCGAGCGCATCTGCTGATTCAGACCTTCAATGACGACTAGATGATTCCCACTCCACCGCCGACATAAGTGTTCATACGCGGTTAGCGCCCAGCTTTGTTCCATAAAAGCTAGTTAATGGTATTCCTATGCCTATACAAACCCCTGTCTTTCTTCAATGATCATTCTAAGAGTTATTGTCCAATCACTGCTTACACTAGCCTTTTAGGATAACAGAAGCGCAATCAAATCAAGAGTTTTCCTGTTATCTGTATATCTGCATCAATAGCATCTCAACGCTATTAAGGCAACACAACATAAGCCACGAGAAACTTTACTGGGTCTCACAGTCATCGAAACAGAAAAAAACCAAGTTCTTCTTCGTGTCCCTCGTTTTCACTGATTGTTAAATTGATTAACCCATTTGAAATCCGAGGTTCCCGGAGTCATAAATATAATTAAATTATAAAGTGGCTTATTGAAATTATTGAGATCGCATTTTTTTACGGAAACTCTATACTTTTTTTCCGAACACTTGGACAGTTGCGGACACTGTATGAATTGAGAGTAAAAGCTCAATTTTTGAATGGCACCCCCTTTCAGGTTTAAGGCCGAAATCTAGATGAAATTTGCGCTACAAAACAACGCTTAGGTTATATGGGCGAGAATGCTCTGAAATGAGTTTGCAGTTGATTATGAATTCCTTATTGATATAATGCGTTGATAATGTAAATTCAAGTAGACGGATTCTTGTGAAAAGTAGTCGTTTGCAATTTTTTGCACCGGTTCGCTCTTAAAAAATCACCGAGGATCTAATGAGACATTCTTCAGGTATTAAGTAGCTGACTACTGAAGAAATTGATTGCCAGTATAGCGATTCTAGGTTTGCTACCTCCTCCCCCCCCCCCCCCCCCCCTCCCCCCGGTTTGTCAGCAAGATTTATGCGTTATGTGTATGTATAAATTACATATATGTGCTCTGTAATCTGTAAACAGTGTGTAGAGATGATCATTTAGTTTCTTCGGAGCGTTCACCTCCCGCTGCAAAGAGCAGCTCATAAACTGTAAGAAAACACTAGAGAAATTTACTACATTGACCTCTTCATCGTCGTGGTATGCTTGGTAGTGGAGGAGAAGACGGCGGGTGTTCGTGAAAATGAGAGAGCAACATTTACAAGACACCTGTGATATTGTAGAAATGTTGTGAGACTCATCCAGATGAGACCTGCATTGTGAAATGGCTTTCAAAGAATATAGTTTGATGAAGGTGTTGAAAAAACACACCTCAGTGTTGTGTATTGACTGAAGTGATGCGTACAAAAAGCAACCGGGCAAGCGAAATCAATCCCCGTTCTGATATGGGTCATTGAGTGCTCCTGCATCTGAATTTGTGAATTTGCATTTTATTGCACTTCCAACCTTGGAATTACTACCATCCAAGAAAATGTTTCAGGAAGTCCCTAAGTGATGGTTTCTTAAAATTTTACAACGTTGCTCACAGGAGGATTCCAGAAAGATTCCAGATTCTTTTTCTTTATTCCCAGAAAAAGCAAATCTTCGTTTTCGACCTACCTGGTCCTTTCGGAAAAAACGCTTTTTACAATGTCGGCATTCATATGGCTTGACTCCGTTGTGTCTCATCCGATGACGATGCATGTTAGCCTAGGAAAAGGTGCGTTCAGTGACTCATTGCGTAACACTCATACGCTCACCTTTTGACTGAATGACATTTGACAAATGTCGCATTGAAACATTAGTCCTTGATGGCGCGAGTGAGCATCATGAAAATGAAATGTTGGAGGGGCCAAGGAAAAGGTAGGAAAGAAACTCAGGCATAACGACTGGTGCGCAAATGTTGCACCGGTTTTGCAATTGCTTGCCTAACTATTTGAATCGCTGATTGCTCTTTTTTTACATCAATAGTTAATTCGACAGCCTTATTCTGATTCAATTTTGCCCTATAGCTATAATGACTTGATTACTCCTGTTTATAGCGCAGATGAGCAGTTCGATATGCGACCCACTTGTCGAGAATTACACCTGTTGTTTTAGACATGTAGCTACTCTACCCCAGTGTTGCGAGGAAGACTGGGACGCTTTTTGGTATTTTTCTATTTACTTATCGCAATTTTGTTTTTTTTTTGTTACCGTCACATTCCTTTACTTTTTGTATTTTTGCTCACTTCCCAGTCTCTTTGTTTTTGTTTTTCGAGTATGGCGCGCTAGCCTGCTGAGACATGAATCGTTTTAACTTCCATGAAGACTAACCTTCTCATCAGAGCACCCCATGAAGTAAGTTAACAAAGAACCAACACATTGAAAGAAATCATTCCCCGAAGAAGTCATTCCAGATGAGTTGCAAATGATGATAATGGTGATAACGGAGTAAATTGAAATGTTACCGCTATTGAAACACAAAGTGATAGTTATAATCCTTTACCTAAAATTATATGCGTCTTGCCCTTGACGTTGTTCGAGGAAGCAATGCGAACCCACTTATTCAGAGACCGCTTGCTCCCGCACTATTTAGGGGCGTGGGTTCAGCGAGGGAGTCGTCTCAGACTGTGTCGTCGCTATATACGTTACGACGATAACATAACTAGTAAGAAATGCCAATGTTCCATTGCATATAGCGAGTTCATACCTACAGTACCACGAAAGGAGCTCGTTAAAAATACCATCCCAGACTGCAGCATGAGATATGATCCCTGGCTTGAGCTAACACTAAAAAAGCATCCATACCAATAACCATGAGAAGTAGTTACAGAAGAGAATATAATGAAGGAAAGCAATAGGAAGATGTTACACCAAAACTTCCTTTTCATAGAAAAGTCTACTGCTCCTCTTTACAATTCGATCGCGGATTCATTTCTACAATGGACTGACGTGCAGGCTAATGTTAGGGAGAATGTGGACCTGAATGGAGTGGTCTGGAACAAATAAGCGCAACTAGTCTCGAGCGCAAGACATATGGACCGTGAGAGTCTCGAGAATAGTCTGCTGCAAACCATCATAATAAGAGAATATTGAATTTGGAAGCCTTCAACAGCACTCTGCTTTTCAACCTACCCTAGAATCATTTCACTACATGTTCACAACGACAAGTGTTGTGGATTCACAACCATATAGATGTTTATAGTAGAACTAGCCTTTACCAGTATGATAGATAACATGCGAGTTCAACATATTAACCATAGGCATAAATTGACATGAGTATCTCTTGAGTTGAGACCACAGGCATGACCTGGCGGTATCATAAGTGTGCAATCAAGTAGGTAGCTTAAGTTCTGCCTTTGGCGCGGTCCGCTCTTTCATCCCCCGAGCTTGAGTACCGCCACGGCCCCCTAAGGTCCAGTGGCGATACGGTATCTGAGGACCGCCCACATATTGTGTATATAAACCCCGTGAATGTTATATTATGGTCGATCCTTATACTAACACGCTGTAATAAACATTTCACGTCACTGGTTAAGACTTCCATTGACTCATTAGCCAAATTGGTGCATCGGCCTTGGGTTCAAACCCACGAATCTCCACACTCTTCTGCGCCAGCTCACTCTACAGAGAGACAAAAGAGCCTAGTTCTTCCTTGCGAGGCCTCCCCGGAGGAACCAGAAGAGCGAAAAACTACAACTTCTTTGCGCGCTCTTTTCGGAGAAACCAGAAGGCGTAGGTTCTACGTTTCTATTCACCTAGAAACAAACAACTAACAAAATCTTCTTTGCGAGTCCTCTCCGAAGGAACCAGAAGACCTCAATCACTTCTTTCTTCGCGCGTTCTCTCCGGAGAAACCAGAAAGAGTACCTTCTACGTTCCTGATCACTCGGAAACAAAACTCTTCCCTGCGAGTCCTCTCTCGAGGAACCAGAAGGTTCAAAAAAAACTTCTTCCTTGCGCGTTCTCTTCGGAGAAACCAGAAGAAGTAATTCTTACGTTTCCATACACTTGAGTTCACTGATTCCCAACACCTGGAAATCAAATAAGAGCTANTGAGACTCGGCGAATGCAAGCCAAGCGCCAGAGAGTGTGCTGAAAATGCATCGATAAGACACACGGATCGAGATTCTGCACAGCAATGGGATCTTGTCCGAAATGTCAGGAGGATCACCATGCCTCACTCTGCATAAGATCGAGCAGTGGTCTGGAATCTATGAACCTGTTTAATCGTAGGCAAAACCCACCGCCGAATTCCATTCAGCATGAAGCTGCAAGGATCCCGTTTCCATCGCAAACCAACCGCTCCAGACAACCAACACTAAGTAATAATAATCACTCGGGAGAAACAAACAGGGTACAAACATTGTATGCTGCTCCTGTTCGGAACGTTACTACAGAATCGGAACCGGTATCAGTACAATGCGTACTGCAAATGGCCTCTGCTTTGATCCTCAATGAAGCTAGCGGAGATTATCAACCAATCACTATTCTTCTTGATTCAGGAGCTCAGAAAAGCTTTATAAAGGCAGAGATGAGAAACAGATGGCTGCCAACAATAAGCTCCACATAATTTACCATAACAGGAATGGGAGAGCTTCAAGAAACCTTCAAATCGAATGAAGTGAAAGTGACCTTGAAGGGCTTACGCAGCTCGAGGAAACTGCAACGTCTGTCGGTTCTCACTAAGGAGAAACTGACGTCGACTACCAAAACCGCTCTACTATCGGAAGCTGACAAAAGCTTCATTAAAAGGGAGAAAATCATGATCGCTCAGCAGACTTTGCGTCCGTCAGAAGTATCACCCGATCTTCTCATTGGACAACACCTTCTAAATCAAGTGATCGAACACCACAATCCAGTTATAAAGCTACCATCAGGATTGGTTTTCACTTCAACAGTCTTTGGCTATACCATTTCCGGTGCCAGCGGTACACTTCCCCCTATCAACGGAAACAGTGATGCGCTATGTGGTTCGCTCATTGTAGCTGCTCCTAATATTTCGCCGAAAAAAGGCTTCGAAACGGACCTGGACACCTCTGAAGCGGAAGCACCTCTTGCCAACATCCGAGATCCTACTCCTATCCGTTCCACTGCAAAAGTACGTCTCAAGCGGATCAGCAAAATCCCTCCAGAAGGAACACCACGGAAGAAGAAAGTGCCTATAAGTCAACCGAAAACTACCTTGCGAACCCCTTCAGTACCGCAAGGTAACAAGGGCGTTTTCTCGAGTAAGAACGCTCGCGAAACGTTCTATGCTTTATTGGATAGCGTGAACGACATCAAACGGAAGCTGAATCGGATGGAGGGCCACTTACGACGTCTCGATGAGAGGATGCATACACCGGATCTAAGGACGCAGAAAGTGACTAAGACGAAAGTGCTCCAACCAGGCGCTTCTCAGTGCCCTACCGTCCCGACGACACGATGTTGCTATATGAGTGGACACTTGGCGACCGACGGCCAAATTCGGAGAGCCATACTTCAAGCACCAACAGAGAGAGTAGCTCAGAGACCAATCAATCGACTTATTTCTCTGAAAATACACTCTTCATCACACGACCAAAATGGCGAGTCTCCAACATATAGGGCAAGAGCCACTACTTCAAGAAAACCGTCTTCTTCGAGGAAGAAAGCTGGCGCTCCCGTGAGACGTCAGCCACGAAGAGCTGCAAAGAAGCAGGTTCCTCTCTACATCAGCGTCTCCAGAGGCCAGCCACGTCGACGTCGTCTACGCATCGAAAGGCATTTCTAGAAATTATCACTGTATTCATAGATACTGAAAATTATTATATATTGCAATGTTGAACATTGTTGTCGCATAGTTGCATTGATATTCGCTTGTCTAATATAGTATATGCATTGATGCACAGTTAATTTTATGTAGGTAACACTGTTGTACAATGTAGCTACCGCTACTTTTCGCCCCGCCCCAGTGTTGTGGATTCACAACCATATAGATGTTTATAGTAGAACTAGCCTTCACCAGTATGATAGATAACATGCGAGTTCAACATATTAACCGTAGGCATAACTAGACATGAGTATCTCTTGAGTTGAGACCACAGGCATGACCTGGCGGTGTCATAAATGTGCAATCAAGTTGGTAGCTTAAGTTCTGCCGTTGGCGCGGTCCGCTCTTTCATCCTCCGAGCTTGAGTACCGCCACGGGCCCCCTAAGGTCCAGTGGCGATACGGTATCTGAGGACCGCCCACATATTGTGTATATAAACCCAGTGAATGTTATATTATGGTCGATCCTTATACTAACACGTTGTAATAAACATTACACGTCACCGGTTAAGACTTCCATTGGCTCATTAGCCAAAACAGGTCTAAATCTTGATAGCAAGATCTACCTATTGGTTGATGCGAAAGTTCTTTTTCCCGACTTTTTTATATTTATCCCAATAGCGAACCAGCTTGAAGGTTATAGGTATGATCCATCACCACCCAGTGCTCGACGCCAACACTAAGGCCGCTTGTCGATTCCATCTGTGGTGTTATCTAGGAGGAAGGATGGCACCTTTTATATATTCAGAGTGATTGTTGGTATCTCTGATAAACGATCAAAGAAAGTGGTTCAGTGATAGATTCATTCGGAACAAACGCAAAACATCCTGGGTGCAAATGGTGTACAAGAGAAGAGTCCTCCATAGCGGGTATGACCGACAAGAGAATCTCTACTTCAGCCCCCCTCCCGAAGGAGTGGCGGCGGGCGCGGGTTCTGGCCTATGCCAGAATACCATACTCCCAGAAGGACGGGACTGGGACTTGAAGGACTCGTCGAGTGCCTTTCTCACCTCATCCTCTGTGACGAACTTGTGGAAATTGTGCGGCATTGTGACCTTCAAATGCAGGTTGGACGAGTGATACATTGATGAGTGTGATGTAGCTAGTGTGATGAAAGGGTATCATACACACTTCACGCACACGTGACGGCGAGATACCAACATCCATGCAACAGAATGCGGAAGGATCAAACAGGTGGAAAAGATATATGCAACAACATAGTATTGACTCACGTTTGCGATTAAGAACTGAGTCGTTATATACCTATTGGGATAGAAGACAGGCTACACTGTGCCTCCAAACTCACTCCATAGTGATATAAGAAGAATAAAGAGTGAGCGGTGAATAATAGATGAGTGCCGATTAAAAAGTTCGCGCATTGCAGCAAACCTAGGCTGCGGTCCACAACGTTTTTGATAGTCCCGCTTCTCCAATTCACCGCTTGACTCTTTATTCCTCTTTTCTAAATGTTATACCGGCACTCTTTTCTCTTCTTATTTTCTCTTCTAAATAAATATATATATTACATATATATAGTACCGCTCAGGAAGAAATCACCTTGAACCTTTTCTACTATAACTCATCTCAAACTGAATCTTTTTGCCTGATTTTTCGATAGCATTTTTTTTCAAACATTACCAACCTCCCCC